TATTTATTTATTTATTTATTTATTTATTGTCTGCAAGGGGGCATCTAACTAGTGTATCATCCGGAGAAAAAATGTCATGTTGCAACAATCCCCTTCACGGTGTCCCTCAGATTGAGCTAAAACTTAATGCAGTAGCTGAGCATCTTTCAAAGCCAGCACTCTGAGCAGTAAGCGTTTTATGCACAGTTATTTTCTATCACTGACCATAATAGATTTGATCTTAGCTTAAAACTAGAACATTTGAGACTTCTGCTTGGCCAAACAGGCACTTGTAATTGCGCAGAGTGGCGGGCTGGGGGCGCTGTAAGGCTTGTCTCGGTAAATAAATATATTTAAACATATAAATAAATAAAGCCAGTGGAAGGGGGAGGAGCAGCACCCGGAGTAAAGTGGCCGCACGGCGCGCCAGTCAGTCCGAGCAGCCCGCTCTCACATCTCATATCCGCTGCCGCGCAGCAGAGAGACGCGCCTGGCCGAGTCCCGAGCGCTCCGAGCCGAGCACCGAGCACCGACACACGGGCGGACTCTTCACCGACACACGGCCGGGGCTGCTGCCTTTTTCTGTCTGAAATGCAACTGCGGTCTTTGTGGACATAAGCAGCGACGTAGCGAGAGAAAGAAAATTAAAAATAAAAAAGATACGAGGACAAACGCCCCGAGGGGGAGGAGGAGGAGGAGAAGGTGCTGTTGGGGGGACAGGAGGAGCAGCGCACGCAGAGGTAAGCGCGCTCAGCCCGGCGGAAGGTGACAGCAGCCGCCGCGCTGACTTTATGCGTGGCTTTGGAGCTCCGCGCGCGGACACTTGTCCTGCCGTGAATGAACGAGGAGGATCATCAGTGTTGTCTGCCAAAGCCTTCATAAACAGTGCGCGTGTGCGGGGCTCGCTGTGTGCAAGCGCTCCTGGAAACAGGGGGGGGGGGGGGGGTGCAACTCGAACTTCACATATCAGAGGTTGGCAGAAAGGGAACAAACGGGGAAACAGAAGGTGATAGACATGTCAACATATTACAGCAGGCTGTTATTGTTGCTCTTATTACTAGAAATAAGCCCCTGCAGGGAATTGTTTTTATTGCCAAAAAAAAAAAAATGGTCAAAACAAATGTCATCATTAATGGTGGATAAACTGGTCCAAAAAACTGGCAACCCAATGTCATGTGGCTTTAACTGTACAATGAGCGGCGTTTGTTGAATTTGCTGTCAAAATAAACTCTAATCAAGTGTTGAAAATAAAAAGTGCCAGGCTACACCTTGGCTGTAAACACATGAGCCTAACTCCTCTTTATTTTCTTAGTTAAATTAAAACACTGTTCATATTTTTTTCTATAATTATTTGCGACCTGATCCCTGCTTTGCACAATTTATGCACATTTAATTTATTGTGGTCTCAGATTGAAGGACACACTTGGCTCCTCCTGGATCTGATGCCAGTGTACAGTGTGGGTCTGAGTATACTCTTCCCCCTGTATAAATAGATGCAGAGTGGTCAGACATGTTTCTTTTCCTGAATGGCTGTAGCCCAGTGGTGTTGCATTAATGTGCTGAGCATGTGGGCCAGGAGGAAGGATACACTTCCCCACTGATGACATTTGAAAACCTAGCAGGCTATCGCAAATCAAGGCAGGGGGATTAAGGGCTTTAGTCCTGGTCCTGTCCCGAGCAGACAGGGAGCTCTCGCTCGGTCGAGTTAGACAATGCATGTTGCCTCAGAGCCGGAGTCATTTAGCAGGGGTCTGCTCACCTTGTGCACTGTGCATGTGTATTTAAAGTACACAGCCAGGTGGATGATGGCACGAGCACCAGCACATAGAGGTGTTAACACACAAATCAGAGGTCCTAACCCCCTCTGTACTGTGTGCTCAGCTCCAGAGCTTTATTGTAAGGCTAGAATATTGTGATTTTTTTATTTTATTTTTTTTCTTTGAGTTTGCTTCTCTGCAATAAACCCAATCAGGGTTAATCCTTCTCTATCAAATGTGGTTTGGGTTGGCCTGAGGAATTCATTTAGAAATTACCCAGAGGCATTTATCCGATTAAAGCCAGGGGAAAAAAAAAAAATAAATAAAT